CCTTGCCAGTGTTAGAAGTCGAGATTTATTGAATTCTTAAGAAACATTTATAGTCCGCTTTTTATTGGTTTCTGTCATATGTTATTTATGGCAAGACATAAATGCAATATTACTACAAAGATTATGGTTGCTGGGTGGCATTTTAATCAAAGTTTCTTCTAGCGTTTCCTTTTCTCTGTGTAGAATTATTAGCAGCGAGGATAACCTCTGCAATAAACCACATATCTTGCAATTTTTTTTATTTCTGCTGCAATGTGTTTAATGTATTGTATTTGTACAGAGTACTTGCCTAGCACTCACCTAGTGAGAGCTTTTCCATTGTTGATTCTATATATAGATTATCTTCCCATCTATCAATTCCTCTTTAATTCTTAACCACTTAAGCTTAGTTCTTCTTGCCTCCAGTCATGATAACTCTAAACAAACACCTAAAAACCTTCTTTTGGGCCATTTCCAGCTTTCCTTACATCATAGTGCTCACTGGCACTGAGCCATACTTATGGCTCACTAGTATCAGTAGTACAATTTGATTTTGTTTCCACTTGTCGGTAAGTAAAAATATAGAAGAGCATAAATATATGGTAGCCGCAAGCAGATCTAAAAAAGCGTTCAGGAGAAACTTCTTTATGCAGAGGATAGTGTGAATGTGGAACACACTGGCAGAAGCTGTGATTGAAGCAATAAACATCAATGTATTTAAGAAGAAACTTGGTGCATACATGAGGAAGAAGGGAATCGAGGGATGTGGGAGAAGGGAATAAAAGGGTGGAGGCTCATGTGAAGCATAATCATTGGTAAGGACTAATTGGACCAAATGGCCTGTTTCTATGTTGTAACAGTCTAATTCTATGTAATTTCAGTTTACTTCAACTATTATTAATTATAGCGAGGTAAACTGCCTTTTACAAATTTTAATTCAGGTGACATGTCAAGGTTTATACACCAGAATACTAACAGGGGTTGAAAAGAGTAAGAACATTTTAAACATCTATATAATGTGGGAGGAAAAGAAGACTGAATGAGGTAGGCAGTTTGAAGCTTTAAGATGTTGCAAAAGAATGGGTTACAACAGAAGTTGTGTTGAGTTTCACTTCACATCTGTGAGGATGAAAAGCATGCAGGATATCATTTATGTGCAGCTTGGGAAGACAACAGAACAGTTCAGACATGCAATGTTCTTCAAGTGAATAAGAAATGTTGGAGGTAAAAAGTGAGAGCAGGATCCCTTATGAAAGAACAAGTGTTTTTTGTAAGCTACCCAGGAATGTGAGAACATTTCTAGGGCTTCCAAGAGATAAGATCGATATTCAAGTCGTTATAGATAGCTTTACAGAGAGTTATGAGTTGAGGGGAAGATAGTACAGTGTTTGACACGAGAGAGGAAACTAAGCCTCTTGGTGGCTGCTTTGGCAGTGAAGGAAGTATGAAAGAAAATTCTACTTAAGAAGGTAGTGAGGTCAGGAATATCAATAATGACTGAGATTTCCGCCACATATTAGATGATGTAGTAGTTGTATGTTGGATATGCAAGAAGTGGGAAAGGAAAAAGGGTTAATGATTTCAGTATTCTTTAAGCAGTTCTCTGCCTTAATTAGCACACGATCCACTTTAAGGAATCCTGCAAATTAGCACTACCCTTGTTCTGCTGAGCATGTATGTATGTATGACCATACTTGTATGGTCAGTTTACTGGTGTATAAGCCAGGATCATGGATTTAAGTCCACATACTTTAATTCAAAGATTTTCCTGATTTAAAACCATATTCCTGGTCTATTTTTTAGTCATCAAAAATCCCCAAATACAACACTTCCCCAATACAGACTGTAATGTCAGTCTAGACTGTTAGTTCAAAGTTCCTGACTTGGGGCTCGAACCTCCAACCATCTGACTGAGAGGCAAGAGTGCTGCCACCTGAGCCAGGCAGGTTTGCAATATAAAGTCTGTGCTAATTAAAAAAAACAAACTCATTTGTAGGTTTCCTTAAAACATTGTTTGTGTTAATTAAGACAAGAAGCACCTTAAAGAAATTTCTGAATTTTGATCCAGTTTTCTTTTTGAACAATTAAACAAAGAATAGTATTTAAAAAATTAAAAAGGTAATTCTAATTTTATCCATTTTAGTAAGATGCTTGGAAGTAAGACACACAAAAAACTTGTCTCACAATGAAACATTCCATCCAATGCACTGCATCCAGGATGCAGTGACTTGCATGGAGACGGTGTTATGCTTGGCTGGCAACAGTTTCTGATTAAAACACATGGCAAGTTTCCAAAGGTTAAATTATTATGTTTTCAAAAAATAAGTTGAAGCTGCTTTTGATTTTATACGATGGAGATTGCATTATTTGCTTCGGTTTACAAGTCAATTACCATTCTTTTGCCAATAGGACAACATTTCATGGAGTATTTTATGAAGTTATATTCTCTAAGTGGCACAAACAATATGTTTTACAATTCGGTCCTTTTCACCCAAATGACAAAATCGTAGTTTGTCCTCCTAAAATGTTTAGCTCGTCTGTCATCCCAATGAACCTTTTGTGGGCAAGTTTCATGCAACAATACAGATTTGATACAAAAAGCATTTTTTCGGAAAGCAACAAACTAAGGTTTATGAACATTTATGTTGCTCTTACAATCTCCCTTTATGGTGGAAATGCTCAACATAACTAACCATATTATTGATTTAGAGCCAAGAGGAATGAACCAATATCATAAATGTAACAACAATTTCAATGGCCAACAAGTACTCTATTGATTAACACTGCAACAGCATCAACAGTAAAACGCAGTGCAAAGCATTTGGCTAGGGACTGAGAAATCACACATCATCATTCCTGGTCTACCTAGAGCCCAGAATCCATACTTTGTGGGTCATTGCTGTGCATAAATTGGCAACCTGTGAGTTGGAAGAGGGGTGGAGGGCAACAGGGGTGGAGGAGGGAAGATGACTGAAGACACAGTCGAAAAGGAAGATCTTGAGACAAAGGAAAGCAAGGGAGGGGATGAGGCCAAGGGGCTCCAGGATAGTTCCAGAGGATGGGGGCAGAAAGGCTGAAGACACGACCGCAGACAGGATTTCCACAATTTCTGTTTTGTGAATAAAACATTCCTTAATTATCCCCAGTGTGAATTAAGCAAATTAAGGAATCTGGTTTGCAATAATCGCCATTTTCCCTCTATATCTTTGTGCATCAAAACTAATGAGAAATAGAAACAGAAATCAAAAGTAGGCCATTCAGCCCACTGAGGCTTTTCCACAAATTTATCAGTTCATAGCAGATCTCTTAATCCTATTTGCAACTCTTTTCTCCATGCCTCTTAACACAGTTACTTTCAAAGTATCCACCTATCTCACTTTTAAACATTCCAGCTGATTTTCCTTTTATGGGTGCCCGAGCAATGCATATACCATATTCAGTGAAGAAATATTTCCTGATCTCACTTCTAATTGACACAGCTCTAACTTTTAAAGATTATTTCCCTTTGTTTTGGTTCCCTCTACCAGAGTGAAGAGTGGTCCGCTATGAATGTCAGAATATCATTTATAATATGGTAGAACAGCTTTGCATTATAGGGAAGCAGCAGAGGTTGTTCAAGGGCAGCAGATCCGTAAATCCTTGAAATAGGTTGCCAAAAATTTAGGGTTTTTTTCATCGAAGAATAGATGGAAAGAAACATGTTAGAGGGCTGAAAGGCATAGATACTGTGGGCTTAAGTGGGTGATTTATCTTAAACCATGATTGCAGGACTAACTGACACTTAGAACAATTATTGAGAAAATCTCATTTTACCTCGAGTGAGGCTAGATCCTTTAAGACAGATAGTTATTATTAAATATGTCAATTAACTCCATTATAAAAAAAGAAAGATGAACATCTGGGTTAAAAATTCAGAACGAACCTTTGAACACATTGTTCCATCGATCGTAAAATTTTCTGAACCAGTACGCAAAACACCAGGTTAACAGAACTAACAATGTCTGCTTTTGATGTCTAAAATGTTGTGATGCATGACAAGTTCAAAGGTATTGTGGGCTGACTCAACAGCTACGGAACCTTTTACGATGTCAGGGAGTGGAGGATATTCACATGCAAACTGTGCAAGTCGTATAAAATCTGACGTAATCAATAATCTACTCTGCGCATGCATAATTCAATGTAGCCAAGAAGTGTGCATGCAGTAAACAGTCCATCACTGCAGCCAGGAAGTGAAATGTGGTGACCCATCAAGCCCATGTTTCCCGCGATTCAATGCAGCCGGTTAGTGAGGGAGTAATGGAGGGTAAGGGAACGACGTTCGAGTGAGAAGGTGATAAAATACGAGTACAAAGAAATCTAAGCGGTTTTGAAAGGAAACTGAATGGGATTTAGGTACATCTATGACTTAGAAGATTATACACTTTATAAAGATAAGATGTTGTACTGTATTATGCTGATCTTTAAATAAGATATTAGATCACTGAAACAGAGCTACATTTTATCATCCATTTCTTTTCCCTCTTCCTACAAAGCTTGTAAACTGAAATTACTATATAAACGCCCGAGAGAATGATTTGAAAACATACACTTGTTTTACAAGAAATAAGTGCAATTTGGTTGAAGACTCGCAAAAAGTGCTTTGCATTTCAGATATCTCATTACATTTAATTTTGGACCCAGTAATCAGAGAACATTCTTGTTCGCTCAGGCAGCGATGAGCTGATGTACTTTAGAAAATCATGAAAACTGTTACCATGGCTGACTGTTGCCAAGCTGCACTCCACGAGATATGCCAAGATTTACTTTTGATGTCAAATTTGTAACCAAAATAATTTAGTTCTTAAATATCTCCAAAATATAGCTTCTGTAGTCTGAATGTTATGCGTTTGCTGGCTTATTAACAATGTGACATTTGTGTCCACTTTTAACAAACATACAATTTAAATTTTAAATACCTCCTTTCATGTCAGGAGGCTGTCTCAAAGCACTTAACTGTAGCGTGAAGAATGATTGGAACTTACCGTTGTGAGAGTAAAGGGGTGGCTCTCAAATGTTGACACGCTCGGACAGTGCAGAACAATGTACTAAATGCAAACGGAAACAAAGGAGAAAAATTAGTGAATTCAAAAATAGTTATTTCTCATTTATTGCTTGACTACAAAAGGCCAAACAACTGTCCATTCCTTTGTCTATGCCTCATTCAACCCTCGCACTTAACCTGAAACATAGAAACCAAGCTGCATTTGAATAAGAACATAAGAACATAAGAATTAGGAGCAGGAGTAGGCCATTCGGCCCCTCGAGCCTGCCCCGCCATTCGATAAGATCATGGCTGATATTCAGACCTAACTCTAATTACCTGCCCTATCCCCATATCCCCTAATCCCTCCATTTTTAAAAAATCTATCAGTCTCAGCCTTGAAGATGATAATCTTCCAGTGATAAATATTAGCATTTGGCAATTTACATCTCCCCACAGCTGCTTTCATTTCTAGTTTTGTTATATAGTGGCAGCGTTTAACATGTTTTATGATAAAGGAAAATTTGCAACGATTTATGTATTTTAATTCAATTCGTAGCTGTTAAGTCTAATCAGGCCAGTTTTTTTTCCCCCTCTAGAAACAGTATTCTTTGAAGTATTTAACTTCAGAGATTATAATGAAGTTTATTAAAAAGACGTTAGCTTAATTTCAACCTGAAGTAAAATTCTGGTCTGAATTTTCTTCAGAATACCACTTAGGACAACAAACTGGAATTGTTTTTCAGTACGTACGATGCTGACACATGTTTCTTCCATACTGAATTATTTCTACCCATGGAAACTGTTGCGTAGTGCACCCTTGATGAATTTCAAAGAGGCATGAGTTTTGCTTATGTTACTTGGTGTTTATTTTAGAGTGACCTCCTAACAAGTCTAAACTTTACACATGTTCTTCATGATAACTTGAAAAAACAAGGCGTAAAAAGGGCCTCAACCAAATGAAAATGAGACAGGTGGCAGAAGAACCATACTGTATGCATCACTTTCTTGCATGTTTACTTCATTAATAGTGTTCCATCCCAGAATGGGCAACAGGGAGGGAGCTTAGCTGGGAACAAAGGTCTGTATTAGACATCTGTTGATATATCTTCCTTGTGAATGGATCTTTGTTTTCTGTTTATCTGTGTGTGTCTCTGCCTTTCTATCTCTCATTTCCCATCACCGCTCCCCTCTCTATGCTTATCTGATCTCCCTGTGGGTTTACTGTGTTTGCGTGTCCTACTCCATCCTTGTGCTCATCACTCTATGTGCGTCTGACTTTCTCGATGAATCTTAGACAAAAGGAGGGTGGCATTGGCAAGGATGGAGCCAATAAGGATTGTGAGACAGTTAGACGGGTCGGGTGTTTTCATGAGGTGCAGAAGCCAGGGAGATCAGAGACTGTGACCTTGACAAGAGTCTAGCCCTAAGAACACAGAGTGGAGATCGGGGCCAGAGGAGTCAGAAAGCATGGCCCAGAGAACAGGACCCAGAGAAGAATTTTGAAAGTAGGAGAGAGGAAAGAACAGAGCCCCTGAGAACGAGAGAGTGGGGCCTGGAGATTAGAGCCTGGGAAAGCAGAGGCCATTTGTTCCCTGTGATTTTCACGTCTATTGTTTAAATTCAATGTTTAAGTTTAATTATTAATGTGAGCCTGCCAATGTAAAATGGTTGATATTGGACAAGAGGGCATCAAACGACATTTTGACTGACAAGATTGCTACTGGGAGTTTAACTTTTTATTGAAACTAACCTGGCCAGGCCTTGCTCTGAAGTTGTCTTTTACCATTCGTATCTCTATGACATCCGAGGGATGGCTGTTCACAGAGATGATCGTGGCTGGTTTATTGCTCCAAATGATTCTATACAGCTTTTCTACACAGTAAAGACAGAGAGGCCCAGACACCCATAGCCATGTCTTAAAAACAAACAAAACAAAGCCCACTAAGATTTAGAACAAATACAATACATTTTTACAAAATAAATTGTGTTGTTTTGCAAAGAATTTGTTCGCCTGTCAAAAATGGCATACACATTTCAACTTAAATGAACACAAAGTATATAAAAATACACTTTGTGACTGTTTCAGTCACATAGGTATTTCTGCTCATATCCTGGTAATTTTATTATATTGTTCTGAATAGAAGATAATCTGATCCCTGAACTATAAGGAACCACCCCCCAGTGTTTGGATAATACTGATATGGGAGGATGTGGCCGTGCCTTTGTGAGTTTTTTTAAAATAATTTTTAGTGCTGGCGTCCTCCACAATTCGGTGACCCCCTTTTTCCATGAATGGCCGCCCCAAACGTCATCTGACTTTGGGCCCCCGGATTCCTTAATGCAGCCCTGTAAAAGAATGACTGTGTTTCATTGCCATTTTCAGTGCTCATGCAATATTTGTCTTGGTTTTAAAATATACTATTTTCCTTTTCAACAGCTGACTTGGATGGAATTGTTAGGTCATTCATGAATGAGTAATACATATACGGACAGAAACATCAGTTCTAAGGAATTAGCCCCTTTGGACTTGCCGGGATTGAGCTGAACAGGAAGAGTCTGTCTGCAAAATGTATCATGTATTCGAAGATTCCTTAATGGAAAGTTATTACATAATAACATCATAATGAGTCACAAAAAAGCAAGGAGGTAGCTTTATAAGGAACAAAATAATGCCATGTGTCAAGTTCTCATTGTAATATTAAACTGTTTTCTACGATTTGACAGTTTCTCCTAAATCATCTTGGTGTAATTACAATTATGATTTACATGGTGCCTTTCACATCGGGAGGACATCTGAAAGCACTTCACACAGCTGAGTGGGAGCCTTATTTGGGGGAGGTGCAGGGGTAGGAAAGTGGCCAAACGTTTGTTCAAAAAGATAGGTCTTAAAGTCGGTTTTGATGGCAGCATATCACCGTACTGCACTGGAATTTCAGGCAACACTAGGAGTTTACATCGCTTAATGTTAAGCTCCACACTCTCTGGTGGCCGTGCTGACTCTTACAAGATTCAAAATAAGACTCCAAAATGAAGTAACGCGTAAGAAAATTGCAGGAGCTCCAATGACCTCTATTCTTCCTGGGATGGACATAAACAAGAAATTCATCCAAAGTCCACTCTTAAGTACCTGCTGGAAGGTGAAGTGGGGAGTTGGGATTGAAGCCAATCAAAACAGATTCAGGCAGATGAGTCTCCTTCACTTGTATATAGACTTGTATAAACAAATGTCCTCCCAAACATTCATTAAAAATCAGCATTATTTATGTACTTATTGTATCAAATATGAATTACTAAAGGTACTGGAGATATATTCCCTCTTCCCTCTGTTCTGAATGTTAATGTTCCAAAACCAAGTTGTATATTAATCTTTAATAATTGTATATTAATCTTTAACAATTAGTCTTTTGACTGACCCTTAGCAGGATTTCAGAGTAAAGTCGTTAGCCAGCTAACTGGCAGTCTTAAGGTACAATCTGAAGCATTAATGCAAAACTGTCTTTAGAGCATCTACGTTGAGAATACTGTTGGAAGACAGGGGTGCTCCACCTTTAGCACCTTTATCCAGGTAATTCATTTTTGATACTTAAGGAGTCTCTGAATTTACACTACATTTGCAACCCCAATCTGTGATCTATCCACATGTTATTGCAATCTAACAAATACCTTGAAGCAAAAAGAAAACCAAGGAATGCTACATACATAACATCAACCTGAATAGTGAAACTTTACATACCTCTTGTACATTAGATCGAAACCTTGGGGCTTCAGAGCAGACTCTTTCCAAGTTATTTTCTATCCCATGTTCTGGTTTGGTGTAGCCCTCTGCAAATTGCTTGGGTGGATACACCGGCACAGGGAAATCATCAACTAAAGTTTTGTTTGCACCAATACATCCAGGAGGGTGATCATTTATATTTACCTGATATTTCAATACACCTCTGCAAGATGAGAAATAAAAATGCATTCAGAATGCATAAAATGCTTTCCAGCAAAACATAAATGTACAGTGGGAAATAAGCTGCTTTGAATTGCATTTTATCAAAATGTTCTTGACCTTCCAAACTTAAGTGTCTCTTACCTTTATGTGTAAACAATCTATTTAATAATGTTTCCCCCCCGCCCTAATTTTCTCCCCTGTAGCTGGTGACTGATGTTGGGCTATGGTTCCACTGGTGCCAGCAGTTTCCCAATTCCTCACTGAAAAGGCCAATCTTATGATATGAATATTGACACTAAGTGCCAGAAGGCAATTCAATTACAAGAAGGCATCACAGCCAAGTACATTCCTGTCTTTATTCCATCCACACACATACATTTTTGAACACAGTCCCTGGACAGCTATTGCATGCAAAAACACAGGCTGGTTTCTCCCTTCTGTTTGGGCAAAACAAGGAATAAACCAGGGACCCTCCTGATCTGTAAGTCTGAGGACCACATTTTTAAAACATTTAGGTTTTAAGCCACATTGAATATGTATCAACTAGTCATTAAAGCACTATATCAAATGCAAGGATTATTAGTAGTAGTAGGGCCAAAAGTAATTTAGTATTGTTATTTTCTGTACTTTTAGTGCTATCTACATAATGCTCAGAAGATGTCTTAGTTTGTGTTAGGTGTGCATAGTATCTAGATGATCTGAAATGAAATCAGAAGTCCTGGAAATCCACATTAAATCAATGAATATTTGAAAGAGAAAGACACTGTATAAATACTTTAGGTAAGGCCTTCATCCAAAACTAATTTTATTTATTTTTGCCAACTAATATGACTCCTCCTGACTTGGATATCTCTAGATTAGTATTTAAGACACTTTCCAGTCTTTGTGGGAAGTTGGGATGGGAAAGTTGAATGGAGCAATGGTCTAGTCCTGCCTGAAATCTTATCTCCCTCATGTGCACTTAAAGTAATAATAAATAATAATCATTGCATGTGATATAGCGCTTTTCACATCTTGTAGACATCTTAAAGCGCTTCACAGAATATAGTGTAAATTTGTGGGCAAAACACAGCAGGCAATTGCGCATAGCAGGGTCCCACAAACAGTTATTATTGTTTTTATTATCATTGCGTGTGGAGTAAGGAAACTTGCCCAAGGCTTTGCCCTGCCAGGAATCGAACCCAGGTCTTTCATTTGCGAGGCGAGTGCTCTACCACTGAGCTACAGGACTCCTTATTTTGATCCAAGTAGTTTCTTTGGATCAAAATATATCTATGTTTGTTTTTGAAATTATACACATTGGTGTGGAAGCAGTATATTATACTGAAACCACTTACCTTATACACTATCCTGCTTCTTTAAAATGCCCAGCAACCCACAAATATAGCCAATACCTTCTAAAGAAAACTCAGTGAAGTGCTTTGAGATGTTTCAACATAAGATGTGATTTGAAATGCACGATTAGTATAACTGATTTTCTCTTATTAATAATAATTGAATGGGAAGGGGTGGATTCTATTTTACCTATTTTAACGTTGCAGCACTTGATCCAACTCTAATCTCATTGTATTTGGTAAAATTGATTGTTTGAATGTGAATCCAGTAACTGTGCTGGAATAACTGGAATGTTTTGCCACTATAGTCCCCCAAATCAATATTTTGCACATTTTGATTTTCATAAAATCTAAACTAGTCATAAATGCTAAATTGTATTCACATTTTATTATTTAATTTCTAAATGGCAAAGTTTTAAATGTTCTTTTATTCCTTTGAGGAGCCTCACTGCCACCTTGTACCGTATTCCTACACAAGAAGTTTTGGTTGCACAAAGTTGTGAGTTTTCCGTTGTTTGGTCTTGTATCAATAATGTTAATCAGTTAAAGATGTTGCCAGTTACTGTTTGAGTTTTTGCACAATAGTTTCATATGAATGTACACTGGCTAAATGCAACACATAGGGAGGGCTCTGCCTTCCAGCCATTTGTAAAGACATAGCTTCCATTCAGCAAAAGGTACAGTAAGTAGTCACTTCAAACATGTCATCACTTCTGTTAAAAAAACACTGTCCAAATGCTTCAGCCAAGGAAGTGTGGGAATACACATCCCTAAAAGAACATTTTTTTTTGTAGGAAAAATACCCAATAACTTTATAGCTTTCTCCGAACAAACTCCACAGGAGCTGGAGTATTCAATATGAATATAGCCTATACTCAATGGAATATTATTAAAGTTAGAGAGAGCAAGCTGGCTCCTGTTTCAAAGAGTGATTATTTTCCTTCCGTTACTTCCCAGAATATACACATTGAAAAGAGGCCTCCAGCTCTTTCAGTACTGAGGAAATATGGTTCCCTCAGATAACCACAGTTTTGAAACCAAAGTCCTGGTTGGATTTTTAAATAATACAAGCAAAAAAAACTAACTGATGTGTGTTCTAAGAGACCATGTGTGGTTGTTTAGATGAGTTACATAATGTGTTATTTGAACTATTCTAAGCAGGCGTATGCAAGCATTCCACTTCAGAACAGAAACATCCACTCCAGTCTGATGAGAATAAAGCACTTTTAGATATTATCCTATATTAAACACTATATAAGTGCAAGTTGTTGATGTAGTAAAATACTATGATTGGAATGTTGATATCTTGTGTAAATGAGTCAACTCCTATAAATATGATGTGATTCTTGGACAGTGCACTATCCAAGAATGGCAATAACATTCTTTTTTTCCCCTGCTCTCTGAAAAGGGGATGAAACAACAGCAACAATTAGCAACTGGCAACTCAAACTGATTTATCCTGTTAATACAGCAATTAATTGCTATATATTATTATAAAAATGCAGTACAAATGGCATAAATGGCAATCAGAGTTCTGATTTAAGTCTTCTGGATAAGAGGTCTGTCCAGAGTTTAAAAATTAGAACATTGATATTATTATTAAAATGGTGACACCTTTCAAAACTTTCCTGGTAAAAAGGAATGAGCACAACTCGGAAAGAGTTAACGTTGTGTTCAATTTCTAAGTGGTCAGCAATGTGCAGGTTATAACAAGTTTGTTCAAACTACTTAACTGTTTGACAGTTAACACTGCAGGTGTGAAAATACCCTGTCTGACAAGGGGTCTCTCTTTTCAGGAACCACCTGGTGCCTGAAATTCCTCATGTTCTCAATTTTATGACTTAAAATTTACAATTGTGTAGAATTCTGGAAAATAGCCTTAAAATCAGCCTTAATTTTTTAGTTATTTTCTATAGTTCTTTTTCAATACTCCAAAAAAAATCGATCTCCAAATATAGACTGATTTTGCAATGCTTAAATTCCCCATATTCTGCACAATCTTAAATGTTAAGCCGGTGGTCTTACAAAATGCACTGTGAACCCTCGACCTCTCCAAACAACATTTTGAAATTATTAAATGAAGGAAAATCCCTTTTACAATGACAAACACTTGTTTTGAAGCCAGTTCATTTTCTAATCATTATTCTTTGCATATTCAGGAGAATGGAGTTGCTCACTCCCTCGAATCACTGGGTGGATTATGCTTTTAAGTATATATAGAATAATGCCTTGCTCTAATCAGTGGTTGGGATTCGTAAAGTCCACAAAGCATGATAGCTGATTTCACAATACGTGCACACAGCCAGATGGCTCACTCCCTGTGCATTGACAAGTTCCCACGCTAAAAGAAATGGTGTCACATCCTGTTTGCTGCACATATTAAAGTAATAACTAACATCAATAGCACTCTGATGATCAGGAAGTTGGTCTTTTGTTTAGTATGCAGAAACTAATACAGCTGATATCTAGGTCTTTAGATTGCTTCCGACACCCCTTTCTGCTTTGAGCGTGTGCAGCGAAGAGAGGAAGAGAACAGGCCAGCTCCTGCAGCCATGTTATAACCAAATTTGCACTATAAAGATGTGTTTTAATGAGGCTGCACACACACATATAAATATATATACACACGCACATATACACACTCATGTATATAGATACATATTTAAATTGGCTTTCAGTTATTGCTTCTGGCTCCGAATTTTATATTAAGAATTCTCTACATTTGTCAAAGATTTTTTGTGCATTGTACATGAAGTTACATCCATGTGACCTAATGACTGCAGCTATTTTGGCTTCTCACACACCAACTGGCATTTTGAAGCACCAATAGAACTGGCGTGCATAATTTGGATTCTTTGGGGGAAAGTAAATGTGAGGATCCACAACCCAATCTAAGATGTAAGCAAATTCAGGTTATAACAAAATGTGTTATATAACTGAATTCCTCTGTATGTAAAAACAAAATTACAAATGCTCAGTGCTCACAAAATGTCCCCAACCTCTTCCTATATAAATCTGTTCACACAAAAAGGAAATTATACTCCAGGGAAATTAAAAGCATTTTGGAAAAAACTCTTCAAAAGGGATTTAGAGAATACAACTAGAGCAGTGCTGGCCCAAATTATGCCAGAAATATTCAATCAAGAAAATTTATTTTGTTGGACGACCAAGATGATTTATCACCACTCAACTAGACACTGCACAAAATAAGAGGAAGTAGGAGAGATGGAGGGAGCAAACAACTGAACCTTGTGAGAATAGGGAGCATTACTGAAAGAGTCATAATTGATTTTGTTACCTTTTGACATAGCAGCAACTATTGGATCACAAAGCAATTTTCTTCATAAAGAACGATTCCATAATACAATAGGTTTTTCTAATTATTTCTATGAATATTTTTCTGTATCAGTCCGTAATTTGACAGGAAAACAAAATATTGGCATATTGTTTAAACACATGAAAATAAATGTTGAATATTTCTTAAGGTGACCAGGGACAACTCCTATATTATAGGATCAATATTTAGATTTAAAACAAAATAGTTTGTTATGAAATACAGAAAGTTGATTTCAAGGATAAGTATTACTAAAACATTCTTTCACACATCTATTTATACATGTTTCAGGCTTCTGCTTGGAAAGAAAGCAGTTGGGGGTGGGGTCCATCAACCTTATCTATGGGTAAACATTCCATTCAAGATTACACATAGTGCCTTTGGTGATGTTGACTATAATAGTAAATCCCTTTAGTGGCTATCATCACCAAAGGCAACATACATAATGCTGAACAGAATTGTTATCCCCTAATGTATAACATGTTTAAGTGGTATAGGACAGTGCAATTGGATAGATAAGTAGAAATAAGTAAATCTAAAACAGATATTGAGTTGGAAAATAATAGGTCTTTGGAATAATCTACAAAGCCAGTTATTAAAGGCAAAAATACTGGGTATTCAAAATTAAGAGTATTTCATCCAATTTATCATGTGAATCCACCACCTGAAGAAGAAACCAGCACATGGCTTGTTAGAGGTTCAACAAGTTTCACCAATGAATTGTACCAACATGAAACAAAATCCATGTCACTTTAACCATATTTATTCAATTCCAATGTATGTGCTTTTGTATGTGCCAATGTATGTATGAAACAAAATCCAAAATGAGGGTTCACTTCAGAATAAATAGTGCTTTACATTTGAAGGCTTATTTTTACTTCATGTTCACATGAGAAAAGCAGAGAGACATACACAAAAAGAAAGACAGACGACACTGATAGATACACAAACAGATACACGGGCAGCCCACCAGACAGGCAGGAAGAGAAAGAAATTGCAAAGTCAAAATTTTTTGCTTGACTAAAATACATAAATCTGTGAATTAAAAAGAACGCACCTTAGAATTGCAGTAAAGTTCCTTCTACCACCCCTGCCCCGCCCCCACGCTAAACCTTCTAAAATCTGCCAGCATCTTAAATTTGAGGATGATTTAGAATATGAGTAATTAAAACACATCTCAACCATCTATTTTACTATAAGGACATTAGACATTATGTATTTACAGTGTTCAGTGCTGCACTTTTAGTTATCCTAGGTTTTAAGTGAACCTAGGATGGTCACCAGTTACAGATTTTTGTATTAGCACATTTTGTATTTACTGAGTAATGCACTCCGAAAAGGTTATTTTAAAATGCTTACCCAGTCACATGAAGGAAAAGTAATATGTAGAAGATTATAAAGAGATTGTGTGTATACCAGAAGATATCATAATTTGAAAACCTACAAAAGCAGAAAAGAACAACAATATTAATATTCCTGAACTGTACAAAAACAGAAAATCAATTTAAAAATGTCTTCTCTCATGCTTCAGAGGTCATATGGGCTATGTCCTCTTTCTTACCGTAAAGAATATGAAGAAGATGTACACATAAGGAAAAGCACCAGAACCATGAAGAAGCCAGTTACTCCTGGAACTAAATAAGAGGTATCAGAAGTTTAAAATGCTGTAGAACAATAGTTACCTATAAACTAAAGTCAAGAAATTAAAGAAATATGTTGAATGATAATGCAACAAAGCTGACACCACTGTTGATGCTGTACTAGCCTTGTACTACTAAATGATGTGAGCAACACTGTGCAAATCCCCTCAGTAGAAGGATTAATATCAAACATTACAAAAGTACTGAAAGTATGAGGAAAGAAACCTTAAAGACATAAATCATTATGTTTTACACATATCACATTAAGAAAGACTTGAATGTTTTGACTTTAAATGAATAAAATAGGTCAACAATAAACAACACAAACTATTAAATATTGATTCCATATTTGGACTTTGATTTTAGCCCTTTTAAGGATAAATAACAAATTAATGTAATTTTTACATTCCTGTTATTTCAGGGTTTTATTCAGTTGCTATGAACAACAAAGTAACAGCACATGCCAAAGTTACCTCACGAGAGCAAGTTACTCCTTTATCCCATACATTAGGTCAACATTTTTTTAATAATAAGAAATTCTTTGAAAAAAAAGAGTACTTACGTGTTGTGAAGAGCATTTTCCTGGGATCCTAAGATAGCAATGAGTCACATTTTTAAAATGTTGCAATTGAATTGTACTTTTATTTCCTTTTTAACAAATTATATTCTCCCTCCTTGCTACATCATTTTGAAGAGAAAATCTATATTAATTTAAAAATGTGCTTAAGCAATCAGAAGGAAATTTAGAAAATAACCTTCATTGTTTTTGATCAATGTTGCTTGCAAAATATTGCTAGAATCAGGAATTACAGAAAAAATCAACAACAAAATTACATTTGTGAAGCGCCTTTCACATTGGGAGGACGTTCCAAGGCGCTGAACAGTCAAGGATCAGGACCCAAGCGTGGGTGGGGGGGCAGGGTTGGAATTAGGGAGGGCAGAGGGGATAGGCGGGCGGATGAAGGGACGATTGAAAAGGAGTGTTTTGAATCATGCCTTGAAGGAGGCAAGGGAGGGAGCAAGGCAAAGGGATTGTGGGATAGAGTTCCAAAGGGCAGGGGCAGAAATGCTGAAAGCCCGGCTACCGATGGTAGGGTGAGTCGAGCAGGAAACATGGAGCCTGCTGAACGGAGGGAGCGGACAGGTTGACGGGGGGTTAGCAGGTCAGAGAGGTAGGAGGGGGGCAAGGCCGCGAAGGGCCTTGAAAGTGAGGACGAGGATTTTGAATTCTATCCCCTGGGGGATGGGGAGCAGTGGAGCCGGGTGGGGGTAATAGAGGTAGGGTAGGAGAGGACACAAGCTGCAGGGTTCTAGATGATCTGCAGATTGTGGGGGGGGGGGGGGAAAGAGTTGGAGAGGTTGACAAGGAGGAAGTTTCCGTAGTTGAGCCTTGAGGTGACAAATTCATGTATGAGGGTTTCGGCGGCCTGAGGGGTGAGGCAGTGGTGGAGTCGGGCAATGTTATGGAGGTAGGGGAATGCATAGCGGGCCATGGCATAGATATGGGGGAGAAAGGACAGTTGAAGGTCAAACAAGATGCCCCGGTTCCTGACTGGTTTGGTGAAGTGGAGGGTGCATCCGTGGATGCTGTTGCTGCCAGTGGCTGAGGTGCGGAGGCACTGCCATAAGCCAATCAGGAGGGCCTCAGTCTTGCTGACATTCAGCTGTAGAAGTTGGCTCTCATCCAAGACTTGATGTCTGTCAGACAATCTGTCCAAGACATTAGTTGTCCTGGAATTATGACCCATCCAGAAACATTTGTCCAGAGAGATAAGAGTTGGGCATCATCTACATACATGTGTTAAGTTGACCCCATGTCTGCGGATGATGTCACCAAGGGGGAAGAGTGTAGCGGTTGAAGAGAAGGGGACTGAGGACAGAGCCCTGAGGAACACTGCACAAGACTGTGCGGGGGCTGAAAGAGAAACCATTGGCGGAGACAAATTGGAGATGGTGTGAGAGATAAGACCTGCATTATTCAAAGAGAGAATCTTGAAGGTTGAGGTGAGAGAAGAGACAGTGGATGAGGATAAAGTGGTCAACGGTATCAAAGGCAGAAGAGAGGTTAAGGAGTACGAGGAGGCAGAGAGAGCCCTGATCGTAGATGGATAAAATATCATTTGTCACTTTGACCAAAGCTGTTTCTGGGCAACAAGGAAACCTGATTGGAGGAGTTTGTGAAGGGAGTGGCAGGAGAGGAAGGAGCAAAGCTGGGAAGCAACATCTCTTTCAAAGAGCTTGGAAAGAAAAGGAAGGTTGGAGATGGGCCAGTGGTTAGCAAGCAGGGATGGGTCCAGGGAAGGTTTTTTAGGATGGAGGTGATTATAGCTGTTTTTAGAGGGATGGGAATAGTGCCAGATGATAGGGAGAGATTGATGGTGTCGGAGAGTAAAGGGGCGAGGAAGTGGAACTGGGAGGTAAGTAGGGGGGTGGGGATGGGGTCAAGGGAGCAGGTGGTGTTTTTCATGCTGGATATGGTGGTGATGACGGAGGAAGGGGAGATAGGTTCGAAAATGCGGAGGGAGGGATGGGTAGGGGTCAGAGTGTGGGGGGGAGATGGGGAGGGAGTGACGGCTGCAAGGGCGGAGGCAGCTGAACGGATTCCCTCGAATTTGGATTCGAGGAAATCCAGCACCTTCTCACAGTCAGAGCTCGAGGAGAGACTGGGCGAGGAGTGGGAGGGTGGATGGAGGAGCTGGTTGCTGGTGAAGAAAAGGAGCCTGGGGTTCCTCCTTCGCCTCCAAGATTATCTTGGAGTAAAAGGACGATTTAGCGGAGGCGAGAGCAGATCGGTACATTTTGATGCGGTCCAGCCAGATCTGCCATCGGACCGTTAAATCAGATTTAACCATAAAACTAGCAGAAATTACCAATCCATAAAATCAGACCATAAACTAGCAGAAATTACAGGGATAGCAGTCTTGGTTTAGTTTAGGTATGCAGGTTTGAAGTACACTATGGCACTCTTTATGATGGACCAGAAACCCTGGCTCATTGGCATGAATTAGAAAATTAGGCACTGAGGACTGGCATTCTTCTGAATTAATGCTAAAGCCCTAACAGGTAAGGTTTTAGCTGGACACATTCTGGTGCCCTCCAGGATTAGGTAAACAGAGTAAATCCCTCTCGAGAGACAGAGCACACTCCGATCAGACAAACAAAAATTGTACATTCGTAAAAATGTAATAGTTTGGTATGCGGGTCCCATGTGTGTCAAAAAAAAAATCACCCCTTGTAATGAAAATAAATTCAGAGAGCTAACCACTTGCTACTTCCCACAGAATCTAACCAAACATATTATGACCCACCCGGAAACATTTTTCTTGAATTATTAACCTTTCAAAAGAGAAAAACTTTCCTGTAGCTGAAATATGATGAATGTTTATCTAATATGCACAGAAGTATTTTTCCAGGATCCACTGTACAGTATACTTTCAATTATTCAATGACCAGATGTTTACAAATTTTTATCGATGTGTTTTAAGTAACTCAGCCTCTTCCTTAAGCACTTCTGCTTTTCCAAACTTGGGATAATCTAAAAATAAACCTGTCATTCCTGAAAAATCAGACATACAGTATATTCAGGCTAACTGAATGAGAAAGAAACACTGACATGTTACACCTGGATTTATTGGCGGACGGGCCTTCAGCCTCTCTGCCGTCACTTTCTGGAACTCCATCCCGCAGTCCCTTGGCCTCGCCCCCTCCCTCACCTCCTTCAAGACCTGGCTCAAGTCCCTCCTCTTCGACTATGCATTCGGTCACCCTCCTACCTTCCCCGCTCTCCAACCCTCCTGATGCCTGATTATCCAACGCCTTGGGACGTTCTCCTGATGTGAAAGGTGCTATACAACTTTGTTCTTATTGTTGTTCAGTTATGCAGCTAACCAAGTTCAGCTGTGTGCAAAACAAACTATTTTAGGCAGAAAGTAAGTTAAATAATAATAATAATCCTTGCATTTGATATAGTGCTCTTCACATCTTCTAGACGTCTCAAAGCACTTCACAGAATATACTGTAAAGTGAATTGACTGTATATTTGTGTGCAAAAAGTGGCAGCCAATTGCGCACAGCAGTGTCCCACAAACAGTCATAGATTGAGTGACTAAGATTATTTTTTTNGAGGGATTAGTATCCCCGAAAAAGCAATCTGCCAGTGAACTAACAACTGCGTTCCTACTTACTACTAGGTAAACAGAGGTGTGTGGAGGAAGGAAACTTGGCCAACAGTTCACCCTGCCAGGAATAGAACCTAGGTCTCTCGCTTGAGAGGTGAGTGCTCCAACCACTGAGCTGCAGGACTCCATGAACAGGATTTACCATTATGAGGTACATAGACATTACCCAACACTACAAAAAATCCTTAAATCAGATTATTGGATTTTAATAAACCATTCCTAGAAAACATGTTCTAGTGTCTCAATGTTTACATCGGGGCTGAAAGTAACTTAGCTAACATCTGTCTTTTCCCATATCCCCTCATTTCAGCTCATTCAAATTACATTCTTACATAATTAGAAATTAGCTCGATAACTTTCAATATTTTGTGCAGAATCACAGTATTTTCCAAGCATAAAAGAATTTTCCAGAATTCTGTAAAACCTTAAATTTAAAGACAAAATAGACTTAAAAACGTAGGTTATGTAGAATTTGGGGCTTCAGACTTTTGGTTGGCACAGATATGGTCCATCAATGCAGGAAGACAGAGCTGAATGACATGGAAAGCTAGAGGTAGAAACTAACAAGAAGAGAGATAGCCAGACACCGAGAGCCAGTCAGAGGCAAAGTAAACAGAATCTGTAGATATAGGTCTCGCAATAGACGGCCATTGGATGTTACATGATACAAGCTGCACCAAGGAATTTGGTGTACGTAACCAAAGTTTATTATTATAAAGTACTACTGAATGAATGTGACAGTTTTCTCTCTCTTTCACATTGTTTTGTTAATGTACACAAATGTCATTCAAAAGGTCTCCCAGGTTGAAAAGAGTAAATTTTCCCATACCCTCATACTTGAACCTCATGGTCTATTTTCCAAAGAAAACTAACAAAGAGGATATTAGTTTGTTAAGCATACTGTTCCTACTTAAAATCATACGTAGAAATTTCTGCAGCATAAAAGCACACGCGCAACAAACTCACAGGACTAAATTCCTCTGAAACATTGATGCGCACCAAACCAAGACCTTTCCCTCATTTCCACTTAGCTTCTTTTTCAAAATACAAATTAATATTTCAACAAACATGGGTATATGCTATTCAGCTATTCCAAATAACACTAAATCCACTGTGACAGAGGTCTATCTTCCCCAGCTAGAAGACTAAATGAATTGCAGAAATAGAGATGTCCTCCCACAAGGAGCTAAGCATTTAATCATTGTACTGAGCTAGTTACTGTAATGAGATTCGCCAGCTGACTCTGAATCAATCACACTGTAAAGCAATGGATAATAAACACAGCAGGCGACTGACCTCATCCCGATAGTGAGCAACATTGAGGGCTGGAAAGTCTTCGCTGTAGTGCAGAGAGAAGTTGAAAGCATTGACCATGTGAGCTGCAACATGGACTACTGCAATTAAGAGAACAAAGGATATTACGACTTAGGAATTGTTCCGCTCCAAGAGGCACACATTTTGTACAAGAAGAAAACACAAAAGCACAGCTGAAGCAGCAACTATCAATCTTTTTTCCTCGAGGACCTGATTTTTATTTTTTTTTAAATCCAGTAAAGCTTTAAGCATTTGAATATTTACCCTCCAAACTGAACAAAAATATGCATAAATTGATCTACTTTGTGTGGCTATATAACTTTCCTCAGAACAAACCTTAAGCAGTAGGGGTGCCACAATTGGCTTCAGCAACTTGAGCTGGAGAGGGAAACTACAACAACAATTGAAACATTCCTCCCAGTTCTGATTACCATTCATTGAACCCTGCTGAAAAGTGTGTGTTCATGGCTAACTAGTGTAGCTCACATCTGATCTGATACCCTCCACAATAGTAATAAATAATAATAATCCTTGTAGTAGATTTGGCACCTTATCACATAGTCGCAATATCTCAAATGATATACTGTAAAGTGGTTTGACTATGTATTTTGTGGGCAAACACGACAGCCAATTTGCACCTAGCAATGTCCCACCAACAACTATGAAGTGAATGACCAATTTTATTTTGTGGATTGTTGGCCAGGATGCTGGGAGAAACATCCATAATTACCATAAGGATAGATTTTGTGATCTTTTGCTTCCCTTATTTAATTGGAGCTGAACATCCATCTGACTTCTGGAAAATGTTTTCTCCCAGATTTTACATTTCCTACTAGCATCATTTTTAATCTACTAATTTAATATTTCACGGTTATATATTACCAGTATATTTACGCAATACAGGGGTTTCTTACCTGAAAACACACATATGGCAAAGCCACACGTCACATGAAAAGTTTTACTCTTATCCAGCAATCTTCGTGCTTTTCTGCACATGATCTGTGAAAAAAAATTTTAGGTGTCAAATATTCCAATAAGAATAAATTTAGTTCTGGAGTTAACTAAATTCCAAGTGACCCATTTTCATTTACCACCACAAATGTGAATGTGAATCCTACAGCATCTATACTGTCATGAATTCTGCGTTTAGACAAATTGAGGTTTAATTATCCTGAATGGATTATATTTACACTGAAAAATGGGTGTAACGCTATTTGCATCTGATCCCAAGATTGAGGTCCAACTTTTTCCATCAGAGAGCAGCTAAATCCCTGCATACAATCCACCAAGTCTGCAGGGTTCACCTGCAAGACCGCATTAAGCTGAAACCACTTATTTGCCATATATTATTGCCAAAATCAAGCAAAGTCCAGGGAACATTTAAAACCACTTAGTGCAAGTGATTATCAACGTCAACTGAACATTAACTCACTCGCATTATGTTAATTACAGTATATTGTAAAATTCATATAAGTGGTATCAGTTTGGACCATAACATTTAATATGACTTACGCGAAGTCCGAGTTGCAGGCAACTTGCATAAGTCATAGAAAATCCATTTCAATCAATAATCCACATTGGGCGTATGTAAAGCAAAGCAGGCAGTAAGTGCGCATGTGTTAGTTCGTCACTGGTAAGTGCTCATGCATGATTTCCCACGATTCAATGCGTCTTACCCATCGCCGAATACGCACTTACTGCCAGGCGTCGGAATCGCATTGAATCGCAGGAAATTAAGTTGTTCTGCGCATGCGTCGATGGATAAAGAATGTTTCCCACAGTTCAGTGCAACCGACTTGGCCTCATGCATCGACGGGTCAGGGCGTCATTTTTCTGCGAATCAGGGCAGCCAGTAGGTGGGGGAGTAATAGTTGAGAGGTGATTAATATGAGTTGTGTAAAGAAATATATGTGGTTTTGATAGGAAACTGAATGGGACTCGGGTGAATGTACGACTTAGGCAAATATATAATTTATAAAAAAAGATTTATGCAAATTTTAATGTACCGCTTTAGGCAAAAGTACTTTTCCCTCTTTTGGAAAACTGTGTCTTTATAAATTGTAGGTCTTGTAAGCTTGACTCTACTGCCACCTGATGCTTTTTATTACTAAATCACATACTAGTGCAATTAACTTACCCTGAACCAATATTGGTCCTTTTAGGCATTCTGCACATAAGATGGATGTCTAGTCCATAAATATTATCCTGGTGCAGTGAGGAGTTGAGAAAATTGAGGGGTGGTTTGATTGAGGATAATGAAGGAGATTCAACAAAAAACAATAAGGGATATTTTCCCCGATGTTTATGACAATTACTAGAGAACATAGACCTTAACATGTTTGGAAAAAGGGATTGAAACTGAGACAACGATTCTTTTTTTTCTGTCTGAGTAACATAGTTTGGAATGCACTCCCCTAGAAAGACATAGATGAGAAATTGATTGAGGGATTGAAGAAAAGTAGAAGAGATAGGCTAGAAGACATGGAAGTGGGATTAAGAGAGATTGTAATACATAGTGTCATGGAATGGTCCTTAAATTCCCCTGTAATTAAACGATTACCACTTCATTACCCGCTGTATATATAATATATATACACACACACACATTCCCTTGCAATAGTTAATCTTTATCAAATGTCAGTATCAACACTCAGACATCATCTGAACTGTTTTTGTGGTTCCAAGGTAGAGCCATAAAAATCCAACACACTCATCCAGGTCAGGAGGAAATGCAGAATAGTTGACTATGTCTTAGAACAGGGGTCTTCAACTGGTCAATCGCTGCTGGATGAAATACCATCTTTGTTTTCAATTGGACTAAACTACACAGTTATATTGCTCCTTTTTCTTGATTGTATTGATCATGTCTGAGAGCGCCAGGTAGCAGTGATCAATAACAACAAATTATATTTATATAGCGTCTTTCACTTCAGAAGGACATCCCAAAGTGCTGATTCCTGTTCTAGAAGTCCTTACACTGTTCCCACCTCACTCCATTCTCAGCTCTCTCTGCTAGGCTTTCTGCTCAAATGGTTGGAGACTCCTGTCTTAGAAGATTCCTTCTTGTTCCAAGTTTCAATGATGACTTCCATTTACATTTCCCAAACTCTGTGACAAATGATCTATATTATCCAATGCTGTATAATTATAGACAACTATGGTGATAATATTCCTCTGAGTGATAAAAATAAACCCCCCCCTAAAGCATGTTTTATCTTGTGTACAATAATTTTTATGACATTGTATCAGTAGCCAAGCCTCTACATTCCCAGAAGGAGTTTACAGTGAACTGGGAATCAATAATCAGGCAGAAGCAATAAACCTTTTATAATAATATGGAGACATCTTAACCAATGGATTCTGTGTTTGAATAGATTCAATGATGTTAAGTGTAAAGTGTGAGTCTTTGCTATGAGATAGAGTATCAAGAAGCATTTTGTTCCCAGAAGCACCATGAACAACAACGACAACTACATACTGGGTACATAGTGCCTAAAAGCATTGTGGAAGGGTTCTTGAAGCAGCAAGAGGATCTTTTTGCTGGGAGGGAGTGAAGATCTGTCTGCCACCAAATTGACTAAACATCGCCCATTACTGGAGATGACCTCGGAAAAGTTAAGAACCCACCAAATGGTTCAGAAAAATCCAAATTATTTCTGTATTCAGAGCACAGCATTATTGTTGCTATGAAGATATACACTACAACAATGATTTGTACGTATGGTGATTTTATATGCTTCATTGACATAATCATACTTGCAAAATATTCTTAGGAATAGGAAAAAATGTACAATTAGTAGAATTTAGGGAGTTAGTCCAAGACCCATTTGTTTACCTTCTGTGATCCTCTCAGGAATGCCAGCACGGTGCGACACATCGGCAGTAGGATGAGACTGCAATTCATATTCAGGACTGAAGCAGAAGCTCTGCTAATGCACAATCCTAGCTGAACAAATAAGACAATGATCAGAAAAAAAAATACCACCAAACAGCAGAAGCATGTAGAGGAGTGGAGTGGGTTGTTGGGGGAGAAAAAAAACACATATACTACAATCCTGTCCAGATTTATATATTCAAATGTATAATATATTCAATAATAATAATAAAAACAATGCTTGTATTTGATATTGTGCTTTATCACATCGTTGAGATGTCTCAAAGCACTTCACATAATATATTATAAAGTGGATTGACTGTATTTTGTGGGCAAAATGCGGCAGTCAATTGTACATGGCATGGTTCAGTTGGTAGCACTCTCATCTCTGTGTGAAGGTGTGGGGGTCAAGACCAACATGGGAGCTTGAGCTCACAACCTAGTTTAACTAACTGCTGCATTGCTGAGTAAGAGCTAGACTGTAAGAGGTGCTATCTTTCAAACGAGATATTAAACCGAGGCCCTGTCTGCATATTAATAATAATATAATAATAATAATAATATAATCCTTGCATTTGATATAGCGCTTTTCACGTCGGGAGGACGTCCCAAAGCGTGGAGTCCTGTGGCTCAGTGGTTAGAGCACTCGCTTTGCAAGTGAGAGACCTGAGTTCAATTCCAGGCAGGGCGAAACCTTGGGCAAGTTTCCTTACTCCACACGCCTAATAATAATCCCTCCAAAAAAACAAAAACAATAATAAATTGGTCATTTTCAATCCATATGACTGTTTGTGGGACATTGCTGTGCGCAATTGGCTGCCGCGTTCGCCCACAAATATACAGTCAATTCACTTTACAGTGTGTTCTGTGAAGCGCTTTGGGACGTCCTCCCGACGTGAAAAGCGCTATATCAAATGCAAGGATTATAAAGCACTTCACAGAACACACTGTAAAGTGAATTGACTGTATATCTGTGGGAGAACGCGGCAGCAATGTCCCACAAACAGTCGTAGATTGAAAATGACCAATTTATTATTGGGTTTTTTTTGGTTTTGGAGGGATTATTATTAGGCGTGTGGAGTAAGGAAACTTGCCCAAGGTTTCGCCCTGCCTGGAATTGAACTCAGGTCTCTCGCTTGCAAAGCGAGTGCTCTAACCACTGAGCTACAGGACTCCTCAAGTGGACGTTAAAGAACCCCTGCCAATATTCAATATGAATGGCAGTTTCTCTTGATATTCAAGCCAACTATCCCATGGATAATTTGATCATTCACTTTAAAATTCAAATGCAAGGATTATTATGGTGTGGACTTTGCTATGCTAAAATTGGATGTTTAAGTTTATGACTCTATGCCTAAAGCAGAAATTGTAATATCTGGTCACTTATGTAATTCAGAAACTCAGGATAATTTTTCTTAAAGAATTTGTTTTTATGAAATTTCTCCAAATTGAAACTTGTGTCAAATGTCATCGCTGATCATTAAGATAAACAGAATGAATATTCTGGCATCCATGAAAATTAAGAATTGTTTCAATATACTACTACACTCAAAATAATATTCAAAATGAGTTTTCCCTTTCTTAATGTCTATTTATTTTCCCATTTCAGACATAAAGTAATGTCATTGTAAAAAAGTGAATCTTTAGGCTTAGAGTTAACATCTTGAATTTGTTATCAGACATGTTACTTATATGTCGGTAGCTTTTTTAAAGATTCCATTTGTGATTCTAATGTGTATAGAAATACAGTATAAAGACCACTTTCCCTTAAAAGATGCACAAAATTGTGAAAAATTCTTAAATTGTAATCAATTACAATTCACTTTACAGTATACAGTATTTTGTTAAGCACAGAGACATCTCGAAATGATGAGGTGCTCTACCAAATGCAAGGATTATTATTATTATACAAAATGATCTTGCAGGTTGTGAAATGTCAGATCGCCAGACACACAATTTCAAGCACACCAATTTGAATTATAATTGAAAGTCATGACATAATAGGTGTATGTAAATTGTACACTATATATTCCATATGTATGCGGATGACATCCAAACCTTTCTGCCTCCACCTGGAACTCCAGGACCACTGCTGTCCTGACAGACTGCCTGTCGGACATCAAGTCCTGGATGAGGGCAAATTTCCTACAGTTGAATGTGAATAAGACTGAGGCCCTCCTGATTGGCTCACGCCAGCACCTCAGCACCTCAGGCTCTGACAGCATCAACCTCCATGGTTGCACACTACAATTCACCAAGCCAGTCAGGAACCTGGTGTCTTGCTCAACCCTCAACTGTCTTTTCTTCCCCACATCCAATCCATGACCCGCTCTGCCTTCCCTCACCTCCATAACATCGCCCGACTCCGCCACTACCTCACCCCTCAGGCCACTGAAACTCTTGTTCACGCCTTCATCACCTCCAGGCTCGACTATGCAAACCCCCTGCTTGTCGGCCTTCCCAACCCCTCCCTCCACAGGCTACAGATAATCCAGAGCTCTGCAGCCCATGTCCTCTCCCGCATCAAACTCCGTGACACCATCTCCCCCCTCTCGCCCGACTCCATTGGCTCCCTATCCTTCAGAGGATCCAGTTCAAGATCCTGTTCCTCACATACAAAACCTTCCATGACCTCACCCCACCCTTCCTCTGTGACCTCCTAACCCCCTACCAACCCGCCCGCTCCCTCCACTCAGTCGGCTCCGGCCTGCTCCGTGTCCCCCGACCCACCCTCCCCACCATTGGCGGGAGAGCCTTCAGCCACTCTGCCCCCGAACTCTGGAATTCCTTCCCCAAATCACTCCGCCTCACCCCCTCCTTAGCCTGCTTCAAGTCCCACCTCAAAACCCTCCTCTTCAACCATGCCATCTGTCACCCCCCTTCCCCTCCTCTCTCTTCCTGATCCCGCTCGGGTCTGAAATGCTGTACACTGTCCAACGCCTTGGGACGTCCTCCCGAGGTGAAAGGCGCTATACAAATGTAATCTTCGTCTTGTTGTTGTATTTGTATCTACATGTGAAGGACAAATGGTGAACCAAGATAGGTAAGAGGACACTAAGAAAATGTTCCTCCAATGTGTACCCTGAAAAGCTGCAAAATAAACTGCAACATTGTAAAACAAAGTACTATAACTACAAACCCGATCAAAAGTACGCACGTTGGATGGGAGATAAATTACAATTGTTTTGAATAGAACCTTCAAAGCAAAATGTAGCTAGGAAGAACACAGCAGCAGCAGCTGAAAACATAGATGTGGGACGTCATGGTGAGGACAAATGGACATCAAATGCTCACTTAAGGATACAGGAGATGTCCCAAAACGACTAATACTAATAGAGGAAATCCTAACCATTAAAGGGGAAATGTAGAATCAAGTGCATACTTTCACTTTAATATATTCCCTCCACATACTGTGCATTGTTAGCAACATATAATTTCTCTACAGTGAGAAACCTTTGCTTTTATACCATAAGTAAAATCTCCCAGCTCCTGTCCGAGGTTGTTCCAGCGACAACTCAGACACATTGTGGAGCACCTCCATTAAACTTAACAAGGCTGGGAACTTTAAACAGGCTTGGGAAACAATTCAGAGCCAGCTAACCTTGGGAAAGGATAGTAAAAAATAATTCTTGCATTTAACAGAGTACTTTATTACATACTAATACTAGTGACTATGCAGCAATACCCTATGCTGCGTTTGAGGTAGCTCTGAATGCAAAACTTCCACCCTTAATGAACGCAATAGGTTTGCTTCAGGATTTGCCCAATTAATAATAATAATAATCCTTGCATTTGATACAGCGCTTTTCATGTCTTCTAGACGTCTCAAAGCGCTTCACAGAATAAACTGTAAAGTGAATTGACTGTATATTTGTGGGCGAAATGCGGCAGCCAATTGCGCACAGCAGCGTCCCACAAACAACCATGGATTCAAATGATCAGTTTATTATTGTGTTTTTTNGAGGGATTATTATTAGGCGTGTGGAGTAAGTAAACTTGCCCAAGGTTTCACCCTACCGGGAATCGAACCCAGGTCTCTCGCTTGCAAAGCGAGCGCTCTAACCACTGAGCTACAGGACTCCACTGACTTCATTAAACATCGAGATCAAACTTTCATGTTCTGTTTTCCAATCCCCTAGAAAAACGTTCTTTGGAGCTAATCAGGGGACAGAATTTAGAGCTGTGGGATTTACAGACTTCTACAAAATCACGTCAATACATTCCATATTGGTTTGAGACATGCTCCTGATGTGAAAGGTACTACAACTTGCATTTATAAAGCACCCTTCACATGAGGTAGCACTTCAGAGTGCTTAATAAATGGCAGAGTTTGACAGCGAGGTGGGCAGAAAGGGAAAGTGATCATAGGCATCGCTGAAGAGGAAGATTCTTCAGGTGCAATCTGAAAACAGGAAAGAGGGGGCAGGCGGAAGGATTGATATCAAATTATTATTATTATGGCACTCAGAAAAACAGATATATTTAGAAAGGAGTAAGAAACAATGAAAAATAAAAGTGAAAATCGATAATAAATAATTAAGCAAAAGGCAATAGTTTTAAGCCTTTAATTTAGTGTGTTAAAGTGTAGACTGTATTAATAGCACAAATTATGCCAATTCCTATCTCATGAGCTTTATTACTGTTTTTCAGCCTCACAATACATATATGGCTCTGGAGTGAGCACTGATGGTAAATAATTCCCAAGGCAGATAGATGCACCGAAACACCTCAAGGCCTGACAAAACAATACTGAACATTGCCTGTACTTTCATAAAAACTAAAGCAGACCTGCTGGTTTGCAATTCCCTTGCTTTGTTATTGCTTAGCTTTTAAATTTCTGTAAAATAACATCTCTTCAAAAAGAAAAGGTCAAAAGGCAAAGAAAATAAAAACAGAGTATTAGTCTTTTAATAAATGATAGCAGATTTATATGTTATGAACAATGCAGAAAGTATTTTCTGAACTGGTTTTAATCATATTTTATTTTCATCGTTGTGGAGTCTGTGTCTCAGTGGTTAGAGCACTCGTCTCACAAACAAGAGACCCGGGTTTGATTTCCAGCAGGGCGGAAA